TTTTTGTTACTAGGTATGCAAGCATGAGAACCCTCTCTTCATAGAGTCCCTCAGCTCAATTTTTCAGGTTTTTTGTTTTTGTTTTGTTTTGTAACACATATGACTCCATTTTGATTCTGACAACTTTCCTATTTCTCCCCTTTGATTAAAACCTTTGTCTGGCAGCATCACTGCTCAGTCTTCGTGTGTCTAGGCTTTGATTATCCTTCAGTGCCGGGACGGACCTGTCCTAGTGCTGGTCTTGTCCCATGTTGGAGGAAGTGATGGCAACTTGGAGTCAGTGTCAAACCCTTCTAGCTACATTTGGGCATCAAGGCAGATTGCAGAGAGTGGCTCTCAGACTAAATCTACCTGGGGTCCAATATTAAGTTCGATTTTGTCTGACCGATAGTCCTTTTCTATTATCTCAAAGTGCTGGGCCAGCATTATTCTGTTACAAATTGTACTTCTGCAAAAATTTAACGAGTAACATAGAGAAAGTTTTAAAAAGGGAAAATACAAAGTTAACTTATATTCTCAGTTTGTGTAATAGTTTCAAACCATGAACCTAGGCTTAAAGACAACCAACTGAACGAATCAAATGAGCACAGGGAATTAGGTGAGATCTGTTATAATCATGTGGCCTGGTTTCTTACTTGGTATATGTGAGTCTCAGCTTTCCCATAGGAATTTATCCAGGTACAGCATGTAGTATTAGCAATAGCACAGATATTTTCTTAGTTAACCAATGGGTACCAAAGTATCTCTTAGGTCAGGTTCTTTCAAAGTTACCAGCAAAAGGCACTGGTTGTGAAATTTCGATTACAATATTAACGTGCTTAGTAAAAAAAGGGCGTTATCAAGGGGTGTAAGAGTCTCATTATGATGTGGAGTCTTGTTCTGATGTCTTGAGAAAAGCTGTCTACAGTGTGAAAAGGTCTACTTCTTATTTTGGTTTCAGTTTATCTCTGATTATGGCATAAGGTGTTTCGGTGAACTTTTATTGTGGCCCATCCATCAGGCACGAGGGTTCTTAAGATTGATCTAGTTTCAGCTTATAGGGCTTTAGGAACAGTTTTCCATTTTTAGTAATGCCATGGAAGAAGGTTAGATTGGAGGAATATAGAGAAGAATTCATGATCTAGTCTAGTCTCTAGGTAGATAAGGACTTCAAAACAATGCACAGGGTTATACAACATAATAACAGGTATATTATAGATTTTCTAAAGAAACATAACTTTTTATCTCTACATTGATTCCATAAGGATCTCAGATTTAAAACCCCTTGAGGCTAGAAATCCAGATGAAGACAGACTTTTGATTTTACCTACAGGGTTAAGATGCCTGTCCTGGGCCTGCCAGGAAATGACATTTTTACTCGCTTACTCTCAGGCTAGAAATCCTTGACTCTAGACATTTTATGTACATTCTCAAATATAGCATTTCAGGAAAATCCTTAGTAATATAACCAGTGTCTCAATTGTATCCTGTTATAAGAGAGAGCAGATTTTTATTGAACTTATGTAAATAACCATAGTGTTATGAAAATTAAGAATACTCATAAACACTTTCCACATTTTGGAAGAATCAAGTAGAGAAAAAGCAAATGCTTCCATTTTTGTCCACAAAAGTACACTTTACCAAATTGCTGTAAACTACACGTAGCTTAAGAGAGAAAATTTCCTTAAATCTGAAAAAAAGAACATTTGAGTATAGAACCAAGAATGTTTTAAATAAAAGTCATAAAAACATCATCTTTGTCTGTTACTCAATCTCAGGTAGTTAATTTCAGTAAATGGCATCGCCACCTACCTGGTCACTCTGGTTAGAAACCTGAATGCCATCCTGGGTTCCTCTTAGCTTCCTGCGCACGTGCAGTCCCCCTACAAGTCCTGCTGCCTGCATGTCCAGGATATACCCTGACCTGTCCAGCCCCTGGTAGACTCACTGCTAAGGGACAAAGCCCCAAGGCCCTCCCAGGGCCCACCAGGCCCAGCCGCCTCTCCTGGGTCACCTCTTGCCTTCCTCGACAAACTCAGCTAGTCAGTGCCCCAGGGCCTTGGCACGTGCCACTGTCACAGCCCAGAAGACTCTTCCCTCAGACCTTTCCCAGCTGGCTCCTCGTCCTTGTGGTCTCAGCTCAAAAGTCACCTCCTCAGAGAGAATTTATTTTTCATGGAAATTTTGAACAGTATAAAAAGGAATAAGAATCCTGTACTGAACTCGAAGCACCCGTCACCTACTTTCACTCATTATTAACCCACACCATCTGGTTTCCCTGGTACTCTCACCGCAGAGTATTTTGAAGCAAATCCCTGACATCATATCATTTCATGTGTAAATATTTCAGTTTCTCTAAAATAGAAATTGTGTCTCTAAAACATAGAGGGGTTGACCCGTAATGAAGCACCTGCCCCTTCCCCTCCGTTTCCTCTCCGGCTGCTCAGGAGCAGCGCTTGGCACTCTCTGCTGTGTGTTTTGCTCGTTGTTTTTATCTTCTGGTCTGTCTCCCCTGCAGTCCCTAAAAGGTAAGTCCCTTGAGAGCAGGGACTCTGCCTGCCTCGCTCCTGTCCAACCCCATAGCTCTGCACGGGGCCTGGGGCATCCCGGGTGCTCAGCAGGGGTCTCTGCACAGAGGACCGCAGAGAGGAGAAGCTGGCGACAGCCCAAAGTGTCAGCTCTGCCTGCCAAGGGCAGGTGGGGGAGGGGCACAGCGGAGGGACACACGCATTGACATCCTTCTCATGTCATTTCCTTTTAGATGAAAAACCAATCAATATGGACGAGATTTTCGTCACTTGCCCTGGACCAAACATAGAAAATTCTGGAGAGTGAGTGCCCCTGGTAGGGGACCTAGTGGTCAGGGGATCATGTGGTCAGCTTTTGCCACCATGATGTGTACAGAACGTGGGATGTCCCCTCTGCTAGGGCAGCACGTGTCTCTCTGTGGGTGGGTTAATGGCACCCTCCTCACCTGTCCTTGTTGGTGGCCCCCAAGGTGTTCAGGGTTACGTGGTGGCCCAGAGGCTACTCAGGAAGGCAGGATGCAGGACATGATGTGCTCGAAGAATGGTACCTTTACTCCAAGTCACTTTTTGATCTAAGCCAGCACACACTGTAAACACAGAAGGGTTGGGATGGTGACACCAAGCAGCCCTGCCTGGTCACACAGCCCATGTTCACGATGGCATCAGACCCCATGCAAGGCCTCCCCCTTCCTGACCCATACACCCTTGGCCTTCAGTGCTGAGGTTGACCTCATAGTGCTTGGGGACCGTGACTCTCTGGGGGCCCGAATGCTGGATGTTCAGTGTCATTACCATGAGGAGAGCTGTGGATGATGGTTTGAGCCAAGGGCAAGAGCTGCGTCTCTCTGGGCTGGTTCTCACTGTCTGCCCTTTCTGTGCATCAGAAAGGTCTCTGTTGAAGTCAGCCTGGACAACGGCAACATCTTCCACACGAGTGAGAAGGCCAGCTTCACCACCACCAGCTGTGTGAGTAACGGAGTGGGCTAGACACCTACACGGAGTGTCTAGAGATGTTGCACTGGAAGGAGATCATGCTGGGGAGGCTAAAAAGACAAATGGATTCCAGGCATTCTCAGAGAGTAGCTTGAGCACACAGGCCCCCGGAGCGGCTCCATCCTGGCTTCCACCTGGAGCAGGACGGGGCTGGGAGGCTGGCTGTTAGGATCCAGAGTCCAGGACCTCTGGGGCACCTGGGCCTCCACAGGGGCGTCCCGGGCACAGGGTATCGGGAGGATTCCATCGGCTGCAGTCAGGGTGTGTGTGGCTGAGTCGGTGCCCCCACTGCCAACCTGGCCCACTCACGACCCCCGGCCCCCGAACGTACCTGGGGAACACCTGCTGTCACCGTGCAGAGGCCTCAGCTCCTTTGTGCCCCTGCTGCTTTCTCAGGCTCCTGAGCCGTCCCTCTGCTCACACTCTGACCCCTGCAGTGCGTGTGTCCCCTGCCTTGGAGGGCAAGCTGTCAGGTGTGTGGGCCGGGCTCAGCGCAGGAAGGGGCTCCCGGGGACGAAGGCGCTGCTCCCAGGTGCCTGCTTGTCAGAGCTGCACATGACTCGCTTACTGGCCCAGGGCAGCATGACAGGAGGACGTGCCGGGGGCTGGGAGGGAGGCCTGAGCCTACCTGCACCGCCCTGTGCCCAGTCCCAGCTGGCGAGGACCCAGCAGAGCTGACAGTCCTCCCTCTGGGTCTGCCTTCGCTTGTCCCTGCACATCCAC